TTTTTTTTTTTTTTATGATAACCATTCTGTCTGGGGTGAGATGCAGTCTCAGTATTGTTTTACTTTGCATTTCTCAAATGACCAATGATGTTGAGCAGTTTTTCATATGTTTATTTGCCATTTGTATTTCTTCATCTGAGAAGTGTGTATTCATCTCAAATGCCCCTTTTTGGGTTGGGTCTTTGGACTTTGGGGGCCTGATGTTTAAAAATTCTTCATATATTCTAGAGAGAAGTCCTTTGTCTGAGGGACAGTTTGCTAACATTTTTTTTTTTTCCAATTTATGGGTTTTCTTTTTACTCTGTCGGTGATTTCTTTTGATTTGCAAAAACTTTTCAATAAGATGACATTCCAGTTGATTCTTTGAAGTATTTCTCATGCAGTTTGGTTTTTGTTCATAAACTCTCTGCCTACACCTGTGTCTTCAAGATTTTTATCTACTTTTTGTTCCTTTAGATTTAGTGTTTGTTTTAATATTTAGATCTTTGATCCATTTTGACTTTAGTTTAGTACACAGTAATAGACATGGGTTTGGTTTTAGTCTTTAGTATGTGGAAAGCCAGTTTTTCCAGCACCCTTTATTAAAGAGGCTATCTTCTAGTGAACATGTTTGGCCCCTTTGTCAACGATAAGGTGGCTGAATGTGTTTGTAGTTGTGTCTGCATCTTCTAATCTGTTCCATTGATCTTCGGGTCTGTTTTTGTGCCAGTACCATGCTGATTTTATCACAGTAGCTTTGTAGTATAATTTTAAGTCAAGGATTGTGATGCCTCTTGCCTTTCCTTTGTTGCCCAGGATTGCTTTTGCTATTCTAGGCCTCTTCTGGTTCTAGATAAATTTTAGGAATGTTTTCTCTGGATCTGTGAGACATACTAATGGTATTTTAATTGGGATTGCATTGAATTTGTACAACAATTTTGAGAGTATGGCCATTTTCACAATATTGGTTCTTCCTATCATGAGCAAGGAAGATTAATTTCTTACAAGTGAAAAGGCATACATTTCTAAAATATTACCAGATTGCCAAATTGTCTCCAAAACCACATTATTTGAATTTCTACTCTGACACATATAATACTCATTGACAGGAAGAATTATCCCACGGTTTCATTTTTTACTGCTTTAATAGGTAAAACTTACTGTCTGTTTTTTTTTTGAACTGGTATCTCGGCCATTGTGCTTAGGTGGATCTCAGACTCTTGGGCTTACGTAATCCTGCCTCAGCTTCCTGAGTAGCTGGTTCTGCAGGAGAATGCCACCTCTGTTCAGCCGCTGCTGTGTTTTAATTTTCATTTACTTATGCATGAAGTTGAATATCTGCTTATGTGTTTGCTGGCAGTAATTTGTTGTGTGGCCTGCCTTTTTATGTTCTTGCGTTTCAGGTTATTTGCGATCTGTACTTCATTGTTCAGTTCAGTGTACTATCGTGGTTGCCTTCCCAGATTTCCTGTGCTTTGGGTAGATCTGATGTTGGTACTAGTTATGACAAGTTGTGGTTTGTCATCTGATCTGTAGAAGAAATAAATATGAGTCATTCAGAATTAATTTTTTGAGAATTTGGTATTAAAAATTATTTTAAAATATTAAGATAATTTTTCTCTATCTGGTATTCACCTGTAGGTACATATATTTTTTTTGTATATCTGTAGTAATGAAAACATGCTTCAAGGAAGAAAGACCACATTTAATAGAAATACAGTTAGTTTGCAAACTTCCTATCTTTTTTGGAGTGAGTGGGAGAGTATTGAGTGTTATTTAATTTGACCAATTTCATCACCATAGGAAGAAGTATGAGCTATAAGTCAGGTTTAATTTTTGTACTGATGCCACTCTTCTTTATTTTCTATATCTTTATATCCATATCATCTATATCCATATCTATATCTATATCTACATCTATACCTATATCTATCTATGTATACATCTAAAATGAGTTTTTAAAAATGTATAATATCTAAAGACAAGAAAACATAGGGTGTAGGTCGTTATTTATATTTAACTTTTACTAGATTCTTCCTCTGTCCCTCCCTCTCGCTTCCTCCCTCTCTTCCTTCTAGATTTGTTTTTCAAGCAAAAATGTTACATGGCTAGTATTGTTACATCACCTAGTATTTATTGAGGATCCAGTTTGTGTTAATAGTAATATGAATAACTCATGTCTTTGTTCACTTGGAAAATTCTTTAGATCTCATATCCTCACTTTCCTATCTGTAAATGGAGATGATAGCCGTGCTGTACTAATGCTGTGAGTATGAGCATTGGAGACAGTATCTAAAGAACACTGAGTACAGTATCTAGCATAGAACAGGTGTTCCATAGATAACAGATTCCAATGTCCAGTTAATCATCTTGACTAGCATCATTCTTAGTATGTTGCCTAATAAAGCTTTTTCTCTCGCTGTCTCTCCCTCCATCCCTCCCTTTCTTTCTTTCTTTCTTTCTTGGATTTTTGAGACAGGGTCTCGCTATGTAGTTCAGGCTGGCTTTGAACTCACTGTGTAGCCCAGGCTAGCCTCAGACTCACAGTGTTCTTCCTGCCTTGGCTTCCCCAGTCCTGGGACTGGCGTGTGCCGCTATGCCTGGCCTCTCATCCTTACTTTCTCTTTGTGAACAGTAGAATAGGCTGAAATAAACAATAACTATTCTACTTGGATGTGTTAGTTTTCTAGTGCTGCCCTAACAAAGTATCGCAAACTGGGTGGCTTACAACAACAAAAACTTATTTCCTCACAGTTCTGAAGGCTAGAAGTCTAGTCAGGGATCAGCAGAGCTATGTTCCTTCTGAGACTCTGGGTGGAATTCTTCTGGTGTCTGGAGGCGACTGTCCATTGCTGGCCTCCCTGGACTTACAGCTGTAGCCCGTTGTGTGCCCTGTGCTGTTACACGCGGTCTCACTCTGTCTCACTCTGTCTCTGTTGCCTCTTCTTACAAGGCCGCCAGTCATATTGGCCTGGGGCCTAACAACTTCATCTTAACTTTCTATCTACGGATGCCCTAGTTAAAATTGTCCCTCTTTCGTTCTAGGAAATAACTCACTCCCAGGTGAAACAGGAGGCTGTACTGCTGCATGAGAAGCTTTATGAGCTGGAAGCCCACCGAGATCAAATGATTGCTGAAGACCAGAGCGTGGGCTCCCCGATGGAAGAGAGGGAGAGGTTACTGAGACAGGTAGGAAAATACTCATGCTTATTGTAATACGTCAAATTTTTAAAAATTTGTTGATTTGCTGTAAGAACCAGAATTAAACAAAAAGTCCATGAGTTTATTATATAAAAAAAACAAAAAAGTTAGTTTTACCTGAATATGAAATATTTACTTGATCAAGAAACTCTAGAAAAAAGTCACTTTCTCACCTAACCTTTTTTTGGGGGTAAGTCCTCATTTTTCATAGTTTTTGTGCATATTTAGCTATGATTTCATACTTTAGTTCCTTATTAGGAAAACTTGAAACTTTTTTACTGATTCAATAGATAATCTTATTGAAAATAGGTTCAATTATTTGTTCTGGATCTTATATTAGAATATAAAACATTGTAAGTTTTTGCCTTTACAGGACTAAGGTTTGAGCCCAGGGTCTTTGTAGTGAGCTACATTTGTAGTCCTTTTGAAATTCTTATTTTGAGATAGTTTCTCTAAGATGCTAAATTGCCTATTGTGTTTGCAAATCTCCCAACCTACCCTAGCTGGTAAGAGGGTCTCAGAAGTGCTAAATGTTTACATCAACTAATGATCCAGATCTGAAGACGTGTTAACTTGATAATGCCTTATGACTAGGTATAGTATATCACTATTACCTTTCTACTGAGGAAGAAGAAAGTGTTTCCTTGAATAGTTTCTTAGTGACATTCCCTTTAATCTGAAATGTGGAGTTCTAAGAAATAGATTTTAAGAAAGAGTAGTTTTCACATTTTATTTTATTTTTTTTTTGGTTTTTCTCCGGTCCCAGGAACCGAACTCACGACCTTGCGCTTGCCAGGCAGGCGCTTTTGCCGCTGAGCTAAATCCCCAGCCCCAGTTTTCACATTTTAGTACGACGTATTCTAGAAGGAAACTTGCCCTAAAATTGTGTAGTAATGTCCATGTGTGGTTTTTTGTTTCTTTGTGTTTGTTTTTTTTGTACTTGGGGTTAATCCCAGGGTCTTCATGCTGAGCTAGATCGCCAGGCTTTTTAAAAACATTTTAATTTTTGAGGTAGAGTCTCACTAAGCGACTGAGTTGTTGAGGCAGGCTTGAACTTCTGATTCTCGTGCCTCAGCCTTCCAGAGTGCTAAAATTACAGGAATGTACCACCATGCCTGGCCTAGAATTGAGCTTTTTGTTTTTGTTTTTGTTTTTTGGTCTTTTGTTGAAACAGGGTCTTGCTATACAGTTCAGGCTGGGCTTGAGCTTATTTTGTAGCCCAGGCAGGCCTCGAATTCACAATGATCTTCCTGCCTCAGCCTCTCAGTGCTGGGATTGCAGGCATGCACCACCATATCCTGCTTAGATATTCTTTTTTTTTGGTACTGGGAATCGAACTCACCCTATCCCATGAGTTATTTTTTAAATGCTATTTTTTTTTTTGTACCTTTGTAGGTTAAAGAAGATAATCAAGAAATAGCCAGCATGGAGAGACAGTAAGTACCTTTATACTAGGACATTTTACTTTCATTTTTCATTTTCTGAATTATATTCTCAAGTTAGAAGAGTACGTATAGGTTCTTCCTATGGTTTATGTTGATAATATTAATGCAGCTTTCGATCTTATAGTTTTAAATATTTTTGAGTGTTTAGTTAAGAGGTATGTCTTAGTATAAATGCTTTTTAAAAAACTTATAAAGGTATAATTCAGGTCTGAATACGTAGTGCACTGGTAGGGGTGCTTGTCTGGCATGCTCAGGGGCCTGGATTTGGTCCCCTAGTACCACCACCACCACAAAAAAAAAAAAAAAAAAAGAATTCATATTATAATTCACTTTTTTCTTGGGACCTTGAATTGAATCCAGGACCTTCACACTGAGATATATCTATATCCCTATTTTAAATTTTTTATTTTGAAACAGGGTCTGCTGTAGTAACTAATTGCCCAAAGTGGGCTCAAAATTGTGATCCTCTTGCTTTAGCCTCCTAGAGTGCTAGGATTATAGCAGTGTTGTTTTGCCACTATGGCTGGTTCACATATTTAAAATATGCAATTTAGAGCTTCTTAGTATATTTACAGAGTTGTATAGTTAATTGTAGAAGTTTTATGCATCTCAATAAAACCTCACAAATTTTAACCATTTCCTGCATCAGTACTCTCCCATCTCAGCTGGCCATGATGGTGCATGCCTCTAATCCCAGCATGTGCGAGGCTGAAACAGGAGGATCTCTGCAAGTTTGTGGCCAGCCTGGACTACACAGTGAATTCAAGGCCAGTCTGAACTATATAGTGAGACCCTGTCTCCAAAAAAAAAAGAGAGAGAGAAAAATACTCTCCCATCTCTGTGACTAGAAATCTACTTTAGGTCTGATAGTTTTACCTATTCTGGACATTTCATATAAGCATAGTCATACAAACAAGGTCTTCTGTGATTGGATGCTTTCACTTAACAGTATTTTTCAAGGTTCATCTGTATTGTAGCATGTATCAATATTTCATTTCTTTTTATTGCTAAGCAATATTCTACTGTCTGCACGTACCATATTCTATTAATCTATTCATCAGTGGATGGACATTTGTGCTATTTCCACAGTTTGGCTATTACGAATCATGTTGATATGAACATCATTGTGCTAGTTTTTGTGTGGACATATACTTTTACTTCTCGGGTGTTATATCTAGGAATGAAATTACTGGTAAGTCTGTTATGTGGTAACTGTGTTTAACTTCATGAATTAGAGTCCCGTGAGACCAGATGAGTGCAGAAGACAAGCTCCAGCGTAGCTGTACCATTTGACGTCGCTGTCAGTAGTGTATGACCGTTCTAGTTTCTCCAGAGCCTCGCTAACGCTGTTATTTGTCTTTTTTTGTCTATTGTAGCCATTCTAATGGGTGTGAAGTGGTATCATAGTGTGGGTTTGATTTGCATTTTCCTGATAGCTGATGGTGTTCAGGTTCCTTTCATGTGCTTATTGGTCAGGTATATATTTTCTTTGGAAAATTTTAAGACCCTTTGACAACTTTTTAAAGTGGGTTTATTATCATTATTGTTATTATTTAGTTTAAAGAATTCTTTGTATGTTCTAAATACAAGTCCCTTACTGTTACATGAATTGCAAAAATTTTTTCGCATTCTGTGGGTTGTCTTTTCATTCTTGGTGATTTTCTTGGAAAAACAGGCTTTCAATTTAAAGTCCAACTATCTGCTTTGTTTCTTTTTTTATGCTTTTGGTGTCAAACTAGTGTCCAATCCCAGGTCATGAAGATGTGTGCCTAAGAGTATTATAGTTTAGCTCTTACACTTAAATCTTGGATCTGTTTTGGGTTAATATATTAGCTGAGGTAGGAGTTCAGTTTTATTTTTTTGTTTGTACTTGTTGAGTTGTCCCAGTACCATTTACTGAAAATGCTATTCTTTCTCTATTTGTCTTGGCACCATTGTTCTAAATGAATTGACCATATATATATGGTCTTACTTTTGAATTCACAATTCTAGTCCCTTGATATGTCTATCCATATTCCAGTAAGACAGTGTCATGATTACTATAGCTTTATAGTAAGTATCAGTGTTTTTTTTTAATTTAACTTGTATAATCTACCAATGCCATATTTTCCCTCATTTTCTAAGTTTTGAGGCTAATTTGCCAACTTAGTTCATTTTGTGCAAATGCTGCAAAGAAAAGTTGCTAAACATTTTTCATTTTCTTAGAATGGTAGTCAAGCTTAAAAGGTTGGGAAGGGGGTCTGCTCTCAAAGTCAGGCAACCAAATGTTCTTAGAATATACTTGTGCTTTCAACAGGAATTGTGAAAAGGGGTTTAGAAGAGGTTTTTTTTTTGTTTAAATTGGTAATATTGTCCTCAGAGTAGGGCATATTATTTATGCAACCAGAAAAGATGTTAACATCCTCATTAAGTTTTTATTGAATGCCTATTATCCTAATAAATTTATTAAAATTCCAACAGGTTAACAGATATAAAAGAAAAAATAAATCAGTTTAGTGAAGAAATCAGACAACTTGACATGGATTTAGAGGATCATCAAGGTAATATTTTTGGTGTACTTCTGCATTTTTATAGTGTAGATTAATAGATAAGTAGTAGCATTGATACAGTATTAACTGCATCGCTGTGACTGTTTACTTGATATTTATTATATAATTCTTTATGATATCCCTAACTTTACTGAAATATATGCTAAGTATTGCAAGTAATATTCACACAATTCTTTGACTTGATCATTACTTGAAGTAACTTAATGGTTGCCAATAAGAAGGCATTTAGTTTTACAAAGCAATTTTTTTTTTTTTCCCCACGATGTTAGAGATTGAACCCAGGACCTTGAGCATGCTGTAAAGCTCTCTGCACACAGCTGTATCCCAGCATGGTGAGGTGTGTGTGTTTCTGTGTATGTATTGAACCTGGGTCCTTGCACATGCAAAGCAAATGCTGTACTTCTGAGCCACATCCACAGCTATTAACTAGAGTATTTAGTAGAGTCGGGAAAGGTAAGAATCAAGTCGCAAATACTGTATCACAAGTAAGCCAGGGAGAGCTCATTTCCCAACCAGGCCCCGTTCTGAGGTGGCAAGCACTCATTATCATAGTCCGCCCTAAGTGTCCTTGGCAGTTACATTTAAAGAATCAGCGCAGGGACTAAACAGCTGTGGGAGCTTGGGGTGTGACCAGTGGAAATGCTGTGGTAGGTACTGGGAACTAGTGTTGGTGTGCGTGAGGTATGGGGTTGGGCTTTAGAGTTTGCTATCTTCTCCCTAATGGAAGAGAGAAATGTGGGTTCCCTGTGGCACACGTTAGTCACAGTTTACTGCAGTCAGTTAATACGTTCTCAGATTATCAGACGGTGACTATATATTCTTTTGAGTTAGTGGGGGAAGGTCAGGATAATCTCTCCACTTCAGGGTGTAAGTAATGCCTATACATCTGTTCTGTGGTTCAGGAAACACAACAGGAAAAAAGAGGAGTGTATTTAAATTTTTACTTCAGTTTTAAAGGTAGTATATTAATTTTTTCTACTTTATCTTGCTCTTTGAATATCATTAGTTACTACTGATTGATTACTTTGCAGTATTTGCAAGAACCCTTTGAAGGCTTGGAAAGCCATTTTATGCATGTTGAAGCTCAAAGACATGTGGTGTACTCAAATTCCCCCAGCTAAGAAGGAGTAAAAGTCTAGATTCAAACTAACATCTTTTTGAATCCAAAGTCTTAGTTCCATTGCCCAAGTCAAGCTTAAACTTGACTTTCTGGTATGAAGTGCTGTATTTGTGAAATAAAAATGTTCTTAGAAATGCTTATGTAGTTTAAATTTACACATGGTTCCTAATGGCTTTAAATAAAGCATCTAAAGGGAGACAGACGTTAAATTAGTCTGAGTGAATAAACTTGGTTAAGCTTTGGTTTTCTCATCTGCAAAATGAATATAATGGTTCTATTTCACTAAGGTTTGTATATGTTAAATGGCATATGTGGCATGATAGGATCAAAATAAATTAAGACTGAGGCCATGTTATTTTTAAAAAATTACTTCTTTTCATTGACAAAACTTGTATATATGTATACACTGTGGAGCGCTTAGACCAGACTGATCAACAAGTGGATCACTTTATGCCTCCTCAGTAATTTAGGGTCCCTGTGCTGTGCAGTGGGGCTCTTGACTTTATTAGTCCTGCCTTACTAAGACTTTCTGTCCTTTGTGTTGTTTCTTTTACTAAGGTAGATCTTAGTATTCTAGACTTTCTTATTAATATATTCAAAACTTTTGACCAATCTGATAATGTTCTTGATTTTAGATGTTCTATATGATACATTTTAAATAATTTTCCTCTTTCTAAGTCTAAATTTCTAACATTTAATTTGTTCCCACTAAAGTAATGATTTTGGAGTAACAGTTTATTACTAATTGTTAATTAATTATTAATAATTCTTAGCTAAATAAAATGCTGAATGCTTTGCATTTTAGCTATTTTCCTTTTTGTTTTTCTAAATTTGTCCTTTTTATTAATGTCGAAAAGGACAACCTATAATTCAGCCCAATAGTGGCAAAAGCCATTTGTATATAAGTGTAAATATATTTGATTATAAGTATTATGTATATGTGTGACTGTATCAGTGAATTTAGTGTTCCGTTGTTGTGCTGTATATGATCTTTCTGGATTATTGGTTTTACAGCAGAAGGGGGTTTTACTAGAAGGTTACTTGTTAGAAGGTTACTTGTTAGTTCAGGACCTCATTAGTTCCTGCCTGAACTATTGCAGTAGCCTCCTAACTGGTCACCCCACCTCCAGTCTTGCCCCGTCTCAGATTCCTCCTCCAGAAGGCTGCCAGACTGACTTATGTAAAATGTGATTCTGTGTTATTTGACTCTATAGTGGTTCACCATGATGCATGTGATAAAGTTCAAGAATTTTTGCATATATTACTAGTCCCTCCCTAATGTGGCCTGTATATCATCCACTTCCCACCCCTTATAATCATTATGCTTATAGTCTAATAATAACAACTTACGTGTGGTATCTCATACCTCACCCTTTACCATAATATATCACACTTTTTCATGCTTCAACCTTTTGCTTCTGTTTTTGTTGTCTTTTGTTTGTTCCTTCCCCCTTTCCCTCTATCCCTCCCTTCTCCTTCCTTCTTCTCTCTTTTTCTTTCTTTTCTTTCTTTCTTTCTTTCTTTCTTTCTTTCTTTCTTTCTTTCTTTCTTTCTTTCTTTCTTTCTTTCTCTTCCTTCCTGTTTCTCTTTGTTTCTCTTTCTTTTCTTCCTTTCTTTTTTTCTTTCTTCCTCTCTCTTTCTTTCCTTTTGCTTCTCTCTCTCTCTCTCTTTGTCTCTCTTGTGCTTACTCTTGCTCCTCCTCTTTTCCTCCTGTCTCCTTCTCTTGAAAGTTCTTTTTCCTGTTTTGCACTTGACTACATTCTTATCCCTTAAGAGCTAACTTAGGCATCCCCTCACCCAGCGTAACTCTTAACGTCCTGTGCCTGACTCATTTCTAGGCTTGTCTAAGTGAACGACCTTGCTCCCTGTTACTGGAGCGCTGCATTGGCCTCGCTGTATTACAGTTTTGCCTTTGCCTTCCCTCTTAGACTTTACCTTCTCAAGGGTAGAGACTTTCTTACTTTGGTAATCTTTTTTATCGCCATAGTGTCTGGGAAAGTAAATACTAAATAAGTGTTTGGAAAGAACTGAACAATCCATATTCTGGCAGAGAAAGAATAATTGTACAATGAATTAGGGGAGAAAATTGAACTCTAGCCATTGCTGTGAGCTCCTTTGTTCTAGGATGCAGGTGTGTCTCCTCTTCAGAGACAGCTTGGCTGCAAACATCTTATTCCTTTCCAGAGGATTCTCACCTTGGATTCATGTTTCCGAGTAAAGTGCTAGATGCTTATCTATCTGTACATGCTCGGCAATCCCTTGACTCGAGGTTATGGATCATCCATTCCTTAGCTTCCACAGGATAAGAAAATTATCTTGTCTTATCCATACTTTCTGTCCCTGGCTTTATTTCCTCTTGAACTATTTTATTTATGTCTTCGATGCCTGGTTTCTTACATTTAGGGCACCTATGTATAATCCAGCTAGGCTACCTTTGCCTGGTAGGGTTTCTGGGTAAGAGTGCATAAGCCGTAAGTGGTGTTTGTACAGGTGTGACTTTTAAGAGTCTCTCCACCCTTTCAGTTTTTAAATAAGCTTTGAAAATATTTACATAATTCATTTTAAATGCAAAGGCATCTTTACTTCCTGGGTTAGGTATAGTTGTGTTTCCTGTTAGTTATTAATGGTCACTGTTAGTTATTACTGTAACCCAGTAACTTCCTTTAATATATCATACTTATTCATTTTGATAAGCCCTTAAAATTATAATTCTCCAAAAGTTATATATATGTATTTTTTGGTTTTCTTCCGGTACCAGGAATCAAACTCACGACCTTGCGCTTGCCAGGAAGGTGCTTTGCCGCTGAGCCAAATCCCCAGCCCCTCCAAAAGTTATATTGAGTAATTGTGTTTCAGAATTAACCAAATAAAATCAGTTAGCAGCTGTTTGGCTACTTTGTGAAATTTCCGTTGTTCCTACATGCTGAATTATCAGTTTCTGTGATAATCTGGTATAAGTAGAGAGAAATCTGTGTAATACACAAACTTTTGACCAATTTTTGATATACATTTTTGCTGTAAATCTCTGCCGTCTTTTAAAGTGATTTTTTAAAAAGAAAATAATATCATGATAACATTTTCTGTATAGTAAGATGTTAACATGTTTAAGTTGTGGAGGGATGTGATCATATCATGTCAAATATTTGCTAGATTTCACCTTAATATTTGAGAGTTTATATCTCATACTGAAGTCCCACAAAGTAAGATTTCTTAGTGTGTTTGTCTCAGTCAGGTATTACTTTACTGTCTTATGGAAAATAAATTCTAAACAGAACAGTGTTACTATTCCACGCCCAAACTTTTCATGGAGTAGGAGCCTAAAATAAGTGATTAGTCTTTGATGCAAAATTTATTAAGACTTTTCAAATCAGGGTGTTTTTCAACTGTACCCAATGGGTTTAGGCTTTCTTAAGACTGCTAAGTTAGTTGAGCTACATCCCCAGCCCCTCAAAATTTTATTTCTATTCCCTCTTCTTTTCCCATTGCTGGAAGCTTATATTTTTAAATTTATTCTTCCTCTGCCACTTCCCTATTGCCCCTCCCCACCTCTCCGTTTCTCCTTCCTCTCCCTCCTTCTGTCCCTTTCAGTTTTGCAGTACCAGGAATTGAACCCAGGGCCTTGCACTGATCTACATCCCTAGCCCTTTCTAAAACTTTCATTTCAAGACAGAGTCTTGCTAAGTCGACTAGGCTAGACTTGAACTCAGGCTTCTGTCTCAGCCAAGCTCCCAGAGAGATGATAAATATTTTTTTTTCTACAGTTTTGGTGAGGTTTGAGTGATAATCAGTGTTAGATGTGCATGTTCAACTGGCCATCTTTACCAAGAAATTACAAATTATACATTGTAATTACCTAAAACTTCTAAGATTT